TTAATTAAAGTTGAAGTTACCTAAGAGTATATTTGTGTAGTTATATACCATATATACCATATACATGATATATGTACCTTTCATCTATGTCACCTTATGGAACTCTAAATCCTCAAGTGGAACCATTTTCTGATTCCCAGGGTTTGGACAATATTTTCCCTCTTACATACACTAAATTTCCACTATGGAAATAGGAAATGGAAAGAGTCAAATGTAATGGCAAGAGCACTACCTTGAAGTTGTATAGGTGTGTATATACATATGCACAGATCATTAAAACTTCCCCTTATGTTAATCTTTTTTTTTACTTTATGTCTCAGTTCTTATTATATTCTTTCTCTTGCTAAAATATAAACAGATTTTCTCACCAGACACCAAAATTGGGAAGTAGTAAAGAAATTCAGTTTTTACAATGAAAACACAATAGGTTTTGATTCCAAAACACATTTATAACAGAGCATCATGGGCATACAAATGTTATTTCAGGAAGGAATTTTGAATGTTTAATGACTTTCAGAAGTTGAATTTTGGTCTTCAGCCAAAGACAAGTGCTAACTCCTGGTATACTCTGTGCTTACTACCTTCACCATCCTGGACTCAGCTCCTGGGCAATCTTGGTACTCTGATATAAGTCTGAAATCTTCCCTATCTTTCCCAAGATCTTTTGATTTCCATTTCAGACTTATTAAGATATATTCTATTATTTCAGAGTGAGAAATGCTCTCTGCATATGGTGGCAAGCAAATTATGAAGTGATAAATTTGGGCCATGATTTATTGCTCTTCCTTCGTTGTTAAGCAAAACCATTTTTCCCACCAGACCTAAAAAGAAAACAAAATTAAGACACTTAATCTATTATGTCAATATACTTAGATCATATTTAATAGAATGCAGAACTTTTTTCATTGCATATTCTTAAAATCAATTATAGCATCATTTCGTTTTTACAGGGCATGACACAAATTGCTGATAAAGTCGCAGTAAAATTTAATTCACCTTGGGCCTTGCCAACTACCCTCTACAATACTTTCTTTTCTTGGCCCTTCTCTAAAAATCATACCTGTACACTTTGTTTCTGCTATATATGAGTATTGTCCAAATATCTGAATAGATATTTCTCAAATGAATATATACAAACAGCAAAATCACATTTAGATACTATCTCACTCTGATTAGAATTGGTTTTATTATGAAAAAATAATGACTGCAGAAATTCTCATATATGGTTAGTAAGAAAGGAATTAGTTCAGACATTATGAAAACAACAGGAGGCTTCCTCAGAAAACCAAGCACAAAACTACCACATACTCAGGGAGTTCTGCTACTGAACATATATCTAATGGAAAGGTAATCAATATGTTGAGAAGATGTCTGTGCTCACATATATACATATATATGTATGTGTACGAATACATATATACATATATCTACATACATATATGTATGCATTCATATACATATATATGTAATTATATATGTGCATTATAATACACATATATGTATTAAAATATCACATTGAGATCCATAAATATGTACAAGTATGCTGTGTCCATTAAAACTTTTCAAATATATTTTCATTTTGCTGTTATTTTGATTTGTTTTCTGAGCTGCAAAAGATTGTTCAAAGGGGTTACAACTTAACATGTACACTGAAGTGTCTAGGACTTCTGGATCAGAGTCATCTTTCCATCATTCTTCCCCCAAGAGAACTGGCTATTATTAATAGTGCAGCAATGAACATAGATGTGCAAGTGGCTTTATGGTACCTGGCTTGTGATGCTCTGCGTAGATGCTCAACCTATCTGGGTCATAGAGAAAGGTCTATGTTTAGTTGGTTTTTTTTTGTTTTGTTTTGTTTTTTAGGAAGCTCCAGATTGCTGTCCAGAGTGGTTGTATTAGTGTACATTCTTGCCAACCCGAAGAGAATCTTTGAATGGAATTTTCGTCTAGCTAGCCTTTCAACAAGTCAGAAATAAAGCTGGTGTGATTCTGCACTCAATCTGAGAGGTTTGCTCAAGCGTACTATAGAATCTACACTGAGGTGGGGAGGCAGGCAGCCAGACTTGTGCTTGTTCCTCCCTTTTATCTCTAACAGTGTCCTCTCCTCCTCTCTACCTTCTTCCTTCCCTTCAAGTCCTGATTTTATATGACCCTTATTTCTCATTAGAACTTCTTATCTTCTTTAAACTGCCACTCCATGCTCATTCCAATTATTGGCTAAATATTTTTATGTATATTTTTTTCTGCCTAAGATATTCCCTCATTAATCTCCCGTGGTTCTAATCATTCTTCTCTGCTCAGCAGCCTCACAGAAGTCTCCTATCTGCTATTCTAGATGAGTCACCTGGTCTTTTGCTGTGTTGTTCTCTATGCATGTGACACAACTCAACTCCTAGCTGGCTACAAAGCTCTTTGGCACATCTGCCAGCTCTTCTGTGGTAATAATACCAGATCTGGAAAATTTAGCATGGGCACTTATAATGCTCCAGACACAATGCTAAGTAAAGGATTGGCAGAGAGTTTAGAACACTGCTTGGCATGTTGTAAACTATTAATGCAGCCTGGTTCTTACTATTACTTATAATCCTATAGACTTGTTATTGTTTCTGTTTTGTGGATAAGGGAACCATCAGACATGGAGATCTATAACTTGGTAGGGTCACAGACTTTGGTATCACACTCTGTTTGACATTAATTTCTAGCCATGTTCCTAACCATTACAAAAGCCTTCTGCAGTAATTTGACTACAGTTTTCAGAATAGGGTAAATTGTACCTAAGACAGGTTTTACTTTGGAATTCAGTGCTTTTTTTTTCTTTTTTAAAATCCAACTGCCTTATTGATAAAAGCAAAAGCTCGAAAGTATCTTTCAGAAGATTTTCATTTTGAAATGTAGAGGCCACTGAATTGCATGTCCTTAAAGAGAACAGTGAGTTTTTAGTACCTTGGTGTTGCTAAGGAACTGAGTTTTTAAAGTTTTGTTTCGATTAAAACACTGCTCTCAGTCAGAGACTTTAATCATATTTTCTTTAGTATTTCTCAGTCACCAGGATATTTGCTCTGGGAGAGCAAGGTTAAGCAATATTAGAAGTACATGCATAGTCAGGTGTGGGAGTTGCAGTCCTGTAGTCCCAACTAGCAGTGAGGAGGAGGCAGGAGACAGAGACAGAAGGATTCTAAGTTCAAGGATTCCTAGGCAAAGGAGCAAGACTCTATATAAAAAAATCAAAAAAAATCCAAGGGCTCAGGATATGGCTCAAGTGGTATAGAATGCTTTGTCTAGTATGTGCTAGGCCTTGGGTTCAAGCAACACACACACACACACACACACGCACACACACACCTTATACTCAATAATAGTATTGGAGACTCAATAACAGTACTGGAGACTACATCCTAATTAAAGTACTTTGAGTACATTTTCATTTCTTGTTCTCAGTTCCTCTGCGGTGTCTCATTTGGCTATATGGAAGAAGAAAAGTCTATTTCTCTTGGGGATTGGGTTCACTAGCCCCCTGTCTCCCGCCCCCCCCACCTCCTTTTTCCTCCCTTCCCACTCATGGCCACCCAAGTTTTTTTAACTCCCTGAATCTTGGAAGCAGCGGCCTGGGGGAGGGGGGGCGCTCTGAAAGGATCCCTGGGTCTCTGGAGCCCTCCAGAGAGGCTGTCAGGTGAAAGATCTCAACCCAACCAGGACTGGTGCTTGAAGCCTTCCCACTGAGGCAGGCTCCCAGAACGCAGGAGCTGAGCCCTGGGCTCTGCCCACCCCTCCAGCTAAGGTCGGGTACAATTGCGCCTCCCCCACCGCGGATTGCCTTGGGGTGAAAGAATGTGCTGGCCGGGGTCTCTGGAGGCAGGCAGTGAGCCTGGAAAAACATGACACTTAGAACACCTATCTGTTTCCTACAGAGAAGGTATTGGCCTCCTCAGGCACCTCTCGGTTTGGAGGAGGGCTCGCTCAGCACCTGGGGCGGTGAGGCGGCTCCCAGGTGCGCGCTCCCTTGCGGTGCCCTTGGGACTCGAACCGGGTGGCAGAGAGGCGCCTAGCAGTGTCCAGTCTGCATCCTGACGGGCTGGAGTGGAGGGAAAGCGGCGTGCACAGAGGTCTTCCGTCGGACTACTAAGACCTCCTCTCTCTGCTTTCACCCCTGTCTCCCCGCCTCTTGCCCCAGAAATGATCTCAAGCGTTGCGAGTTTGACTCCACAGCCCCACTCGGGTGGGTTCTTTTGTTTCTTTGTTTTAATGACAGTTCCCAGCCCTTCGGCATGGCATGCGCAATTAATTCCCTGGCTCTCTGGAAGGCAGCTGGGGTAAAAAAAAAATCTGCATCATCCTTTTGGGGATAATTGTTTATGATGTGACGTCAGCAGATTGATTGTTTTCCTCCCTCCTGAATGAGATGGAGAGAGCGAGAGCGAGCGAGCGAGCGAGCGAAAGCGAGAGAGAGAGAGAGAGAGAGAGAGAGAGAGAGAGAGTCCCAGATGTGCGCTGACATTTGGAATTCCTTCAGGGCACAGGGAGATTGGAATGGGGACGTCAGGTTCTGTGGCCAAGAATTTGGGCTGCGCAGGATTATTAAGAAGTCTTTTGGGGGGGCGGGGGTACCTCTAAAATGAATACATAAAGAGACGTTCCCCTCCACGGCGAAGGCACTGCGAGGTGCAGCTTTCAGGCCCGAGCCCCCGGGTGGAGGGGGCGGCGGCGCCCAGCCCGTTCCGGCGGGGCGCCCGGCCGCAGGCGCAGCCCCGCGCGGGGCGGAGGGCGGGGGAAGTGCGTCACCAGGTGGGGAAGGGGCTGTGTCTTCGGTGACAGGCGGCCGCGGTGCGGGGTGGAGGGGAATGGGGACGGGAAATAGGTTGTGTGCGCTCTCGGGGGGTATTGTGTCAGGAGATGCAGGCTGGCTACCATGTGACGCGGTCCAGGGCTGAAGGGATTGGCGGAGGCGGCGCAGGCGGCGCAGCGCGGCCGGCTCGCTGCGCTCGCCTTTCTCTCTCAGCATCTTTCCTGGGAGCCCGGAGGTGAAGCCGCGCCAGCAGCAGCATCCATGGCCTGTCTTTCCGGGTAACAACTTGTGTGTCTCCCTTTACCTCGGGCAGCGGACAGAGCCGAGGTCTCGGCAGCGGCCTGGGGGAACACCAAGACGTCTCTGGGACCTGGAAGCGTTTCCTCCTGTGGTTTTCTTTTTTATTTTTTTTTTCCTCCAGACTCCTTGGAAATTAAGGAATGCAATTCTGCCACCATGATGGAAGGTAGGATGCTTTCTGCCATGCTTGTGTGGCTTCAGGCAAGATTTGGGCAGACCAGCCTGGAAGAGTGCATGGCAGCCCATTCTAGAACCTGGCTGCCCAGGGTTTTGCCAGCTGAGATATACTGCAGTTCGTATGCAGCAGACCAGGGCTCAGGCCAAGGCAATCGAACCCCAGGGCTGTTGCCCAAGCTCAGAACCTACAGAGCTCCTAGCTCCTTGGAGAGAGAAAAGCCAAAAGTGTTTGCAGGAAACTGAGACCCAGCTAGGGGAAAGCTTGCTGAGCAAATAAGTTGGGCGAGAAGACAAGGTTTTCTGTGCTGGGTGCCTGGAACTACCCTGATTAAACATTTACAATGGAAACTTGTTTTCTGAAATTGACTAGGAGAGGTCACAGAGTTATCCATATTGTCACTTTGAATGGATGGGATCAATTTTTTTTTTAATTCTTGTAAGATTTGTTTCTCTCGGCAGTTGGTATGCTATTAGTGGAGCAAGGGGAATGCATCGAATTTGGTTCATAAAGTATAGTTTTATGGGGGCTAACATTGCAATCCAATGAGCAATATAAGGGCGATATTTGGACCTCTCTTGACAGGTCCTTGTCAGGTTAAAAAGAATTTTGTGCTTAAATGCTATCCTCCCCCACCCCCATACAACGGTTCTTAGCCCAGCATCAAATGGCTACTTGCTGGTTATCTTTTTGTATTCAGTTTTAAGTGTAAGGAGGAGCCTTCCCTGGGGAGATGCTATTTAGACTATATATTATTCTACTAAATTACCCTTCCTACCCTAAGATATTGACATTCAAGATTGCCTTGGGGGGGGGGAGCAGCAAGCTGATCAGGGAAGAAGCAGGCAGCTCTGTGCTGGCTTTGGTTTTTGTTTTCACACTACAGGATGGTGCACAACTCCTGGCCTTTCCTAAGATGACAGGCAGAAATTTTGTCCCCAGCTTAGATTTTTACAATGCAAAATCAAGTGCATAATGGTTCTCAAGTCAGGCTTGAAAATGGCAGAGAGGCCACCTTTTAGAATAAGGTTTGTCCTCCTGATTTTCAACATTCCACAGAAATTTACAGAAATCAAATGAGAGGAGGAAAGAAGAAGAAGAAGTAGAAGAAGAAGAAGAAGAAGAAGCAACCTAGTACTTATTTGGCAGAAATGAAATATTTTTCCTCTTTCTGTCTCCAGGTCAAACGTTGTTAATGTGATTTGGGGAAGTGAAACCCACAGATTTGGGGAAATAGCCTTAAAAGAAAGAGATTGGATATCAGTTTGTTATGGAGCCTGGTTATGTTCGCAAAGGGATCTCCAGCTAGTTCTTTAAGTACAGGCCTAAATAAATTGAGGTTGGTAATGTAAGATTTAATCATTTCTGTTAATTCCAAATGACTTTAATGTTTGGATAACAGGCCAAGACAAATAGAGTATTACTTATATATTTTTAAATTATGAGTTATCCTCTTGAGAAAGAAATACTGTATTTCTCAAGCTCAATTTCATGTAGCATTTTTTGAAAATGAATCTGTATGCATTCTGATTAGATTCCAGTCTTACATGGAGAAATTGATAATCGTTCATTTACTTCTTGACTTGAAAACCATAGTATCCTCTCTGAAAGTAGTAACATTTATTGGTGCTCATTATTGATTCTTCTGGCAATATAGTCTATTGTGCCATCCGAGGATGTCAGTTCAAAGCCTGTGATAAGCTTATCTGAGCTGCTTAAACTGAAATAGGAGCTGTAACAAAGACTCCTATTGGGGCTGAATTAGCACTGCTTCTAGGTTTGCCAAATTTATCTAGTGAAGGATGTTATCTTAGCACTGGTAGGAATTAGAGGTGACACTGTACTAGAATTGACTTTTATGAGACCCCCCCTTTTTCTTTTTACAAAATGGACGAGTATGCCCACTGATTAAAAAACGCAAGTGATGCTAATACATTTATTTTTATTGCTAGTTCCTCTTTAAATGCTTTCAAGCCTTATAACCTTAATGGTTCAGTGACCTTGGAAAAGTAAGCAGGAACCTTAATCAGAAATCAGTTTGCCTGTCAATGGCCTTCCAGCTAAATGGCCAGCCTGTTTAGTAATATACATACATTTTTCTGTTTTTGTACTTCTCAATTTCACTAGTGAATTTCTCTCACCCTGAAGATAGGATACAGCAGTCATATTTTATGCTTAATGCATCTATAGAGAAATACAAGCTATTACAACTATCACAGTAGCCTTGGAAAGATAAGGAACCTCCAAAGTTCCTTAAAATGCTATTGTGGTAGCCCTTCGCTGAACTATCAGGAGGCTGTGATGCCACTAAATATCTAGACAGTGAAAACAATGTCTGATCTCAGCTAGTACATCTCACCCCCCCCCATGTAGTCATAGATACAAGCACAATTCTACAGAGAAAGATGGTACATTTGCATTTGACTACTCGAATATTTCAATCTACTGCTCAAGAAAAGCAGGGCTATGGCAACTTTTTTAGCAACTCTTCTCTACTTGATGTGACACAAAGTAAACAAATATTCAGCACAGGGGCTTGCAATTTAGTGTCATGGCCTGCTTTGCATGGGGAAGGATATTGGCTCCATTCATTCAATGCCTATTAGAATCCAAGTCTTAGAGAAGGGCTATTACTATCCACCTAGTGATCCTAATGCTATAAAGGGAGCTTAATCATTGTGCAGGGACTTTAAGCAGATCACCAGTAGTCTGTGGCTCTGTAGTTCTATTAGGCCAAATGAGGAGGATCTTATATAGTGTGACTATGAAGGCAAACACAATAAGTAAACAAAAGTATTTGTTAAGAGCTATGTAGATTGGCTGTATAATTATTAAGGCTTGAAAATGGAATTTTCACAAATGGTATGCTAATATAACTAAGCTGGGATTTCTTAGGATACTCTGTGTGTGTGTGTGTGTGTGTGTGTGTGTGTGTACATACCTGACAGTAACTTTCCTTGTCTCTGTAAAACTGACTAAAGGCACTTTGTGTTTTTAGCTCTATATTTAGACTCCTGGATACTTTATCAGAAAAGCAATCTCTAGGTGGCAAAGGTTTCATTCCATATTACAATTTTTAAAGTTAAAAAACTTGTTGACTCCACATGTTGGTGGCTTATGCCAGTAATCCTAGCTACTCAGGAGACTGAGATTTGAGAATTATGGTTCAAAGCCATCCAGGGCAGGAAAGTCTGAGATTCTTATCTCCAATTAACAGCTCTACTTCTGACAAGAAGTAGAGCTGTAGCTCAAGTGTTAGCCAACTTCCCTTAAACTTCCAGAACATCAACCAAGCACTGAGTTTAATTCTGTAGAGATACGATGCACACACACACACACACACACACACACACACACACACACACACACACACACACAGCATGCTGAAAGACTTTATTTACGAATTATACTTATTATTCACAATAAACTACAAGTAAGTATACTTTGTGTGGAGTAGTTTTAGAATACTTTTTTCCCCTAAATTTTAAACTTTGAAAATAATACAAAAATTGCAACAATGCAGAAAATGGTGGAATGGAAATTTTGAACTCAGGTCTTTTTAACAAGCCTCATATTATTGACCCTCCAAGAACTTTAACTTTGTATCAAGGTGAATGTGTTAACCAGATTGGAAATGGGCCATTATTCCTTCAATTGCACATTCCATTCCTCTCTATGTTAAATATGAGAGCTCACAAAACCTACTTTTAATTCCTTAGTAATACCTTTTATGTCTAGAATCACTTAGATCATTTTGTACAACTCAAGATTAACCACACTACTATTGCTGCAATAATCAATAATAACGTTTAGATATTTGGAAAATACTTTGAAATGATCAAAAAGAACAAAGCATTTGTAAGTTATAGAAGTTAGCTAAGAGGTTTTAAATGCAATTCTTCTAACTCTAACAATTATTTCCTTTTATTTAAATAATGGAATTACTTTAGAAAATCTAAATGTGGATATTAGAATCTAATATATATCTGTATAATTTCTTTCCTTCCTAGAGTCTTGTCAGATGGAGAGTCTTTAGATATGTAAGTTCCCAATCTCAAGGTCAACCTTAAATTTCTCAAAAGAATAGTCTTTGAAAAAAAATTTAAAAAATCTAACAGAGAGTTGGTGTTTGGCTCAAGTGGTAGAGCACCTGTCTCGCAAGTGTCCAAACCCCACTGGGAAAACAAAAGCTAATTTAGATAAAATATTCTAGAAGATTCAGGACAATTCCTTCTCTTAGACTTCACACATATACTAATCATATTTCAAATAAACAAGCCACAATAATTGTCAGCTCATTTCCTGTTTCTGAAAGTCTGTTAGCAATATAATTCCTTGGAACATGCTTTCTTATAGAAATGATGATTTCTTATAGAAATGATGATATAAATGCTGGTTAGAGTCTCATACTAGTCCATCAAAGGCTATTTACCTAATATCAGGCTGTAATGCTAGTGCTCTCCATGAATATGTAAATAATATTATGCTTACCAGAGTAATTAGCTGGAAGAGAATAATGACATTACATTCATTTTTCATTTTAAATGTTGCTGTTTAATATTGTTATTAGTCTTCCCACATGGCTAATCTAAGTTAATTATTAACAAAAAGGGATTTAATTAGAGGACAATTAAAAAGCTGGAAGAGAAATTTTGAAGATATATCTAGAGAAATCTTTTTATATTTTCAAAAGCTTTAGGGATTAAAACATTCATTTTAAAATTACGTTCAATTTTACTTTAATTCTTGCAGTTTACCACTTCTTGAATCAGTTTTATCATACAAAACACCATAAAAATTTGAGATCATTACCTAAACTCATAGATGCAAATAAGAGGAGAGAGAATTTACTGAAATATTTGTAAATGCGTCAAAGGAAGGAAAGGGCTAATAAGCTGCCTCTTTTATTAAAAATTCCCAGAAAAGAAATTAGTTGAACAATGAGGAGGTTACAAGTCAGTGGCTAATGTTTGTAATCCTAGCTACTTAGG